CCTAGTGCAGTACCTGGGAATGCCAATTGTGCACTGGGTATCTCCTGTACAATGGATCCTTCTGCCTAGGATCAAACACTTATGCTACCAAACAGTATGTCTGTGCTTGGAGACAAAGTTGGTTTTTCACTTAACTAAGTTTAGAGCACAGAACAGGATGTAACTACATGATGTACAGAACCAAGCTGTATTTTAAAAGATTTTTAAAATGCAGATATATCGAATATAGGAAACACATAGGAAATATTCACTCACCCAAAATGCATCTTTAAACTGTATCTGTGTCATTATTATGGCTCTGTGGAGAGGGAGGAATCCTTCAGCAGGTTCTTTCTCAGATGAGAGCAGCAGCAGCCGCAGCACCGAGCTTTGCTGCCGTAGCCCAGCCGAAGCAGACAGTGAAGCACATCCACTGCCCTGTCTCTTCCGAAGTCAAGCTGGTGAAAAACAGCATTGGGCAGTTTCGGGCAGCTCAGCGTAATGACCTGTGGCTGTGAAGGGACGGAGGGGAAAAAAGCTCTTGCTGACACACAGAGACACGCGTGCGCTCAGCACCCTAACCCCAAACCTGTTTCTCTTCTGGTAAGCAGTCAACATTGAAATGAGGAAGCAAGGAGATGTCAAGTGATGTTGGGCTGGTCCTTGCCGTGTGTGTGAGTGGCTGGCAAACTAAAAAAAAAAGAGGGAAGGGGGGGAAAGAAGTACAATTCAGTGATATGATTTGATCAGTTACAGGAGGAGAGAGAGGAATTAAAATGTAAAGGAAACCAGCACAATGCACAGAGATAAGCAGTGGAGGAAATTAGAGTCAAACTACTGTGTAGCGCTGCGGTCTTACAAAGAAAAAGAAGCAAAAGAAATGTGTGTGCCACGTTTCTGCAGTAACTGCAGGGGCTGGCAGAGGTCATGTATTCGCACAAGGGAAGCACAGCCCAAAGTTGCATTCCACAGCTGAAAAGGCTTTTCAAGACTCTGGTTAAATAAAGAACACTGTAAAGTGTGCAGGTGTCCGTGCACTTTTAGATACCTATCTGTCTATATAGAGAAAATTTCCAATTTGCATACCCTCATGTAAATGTTGATATGAATAAGCAAGATACGTACAATTTAGAAGTAAAATCCAGACTCTTGAACAAACTTGTGACGAGGGAGCTGAGAGCTGGTTCGCACTGGGACCTGCAGTGGAGCTGCACAGCCATAGGAACCCACAGCATGCCCAGCACCTCGCCCAGCACACTGCGGCCGCAAGCTCCTCAGACAGCTAGGTGAATGGGCTAACCAGTGTCACAATGCTGCTGCAAATAACTGATCATAAGGTCATACGTCTAACGCTTCCATGAAACCCTCTTCAAAATACCAATCCTACACGTGAGAGTGCCTCTGGTCATCTCCTGAGGATGTTTGAAGGATTCTTACATTTGTGTTTTAGATACTCACTGGCATTTTCAGAGGGTAGGAAAAAAAAAACAAAAACCCCAACTTCTGCCCTGTTGCCTATGCAAAAATGTGTCCTTCCACACCAAGAACACATCAGGACTCGCTTAGCTGAAACTAATGAACGTTGCTCCTGATGCCTGGGTGTTGGTTTTCCTACTGTCCCTGCAGCACCAGCCGCACAGACAGATTATGTAGTGGTGAGGAAGTCTCACAACTTCACTGAGCTCCAGCGGGGCACCGAGATCTGCTCAGATGGATCTGCAGCAGCTGGAGCCTGGAGTTATCAGCAGTCTCTCCACCAGCAGTTTGTAGCCGGTATTTTAGAGAATTGGTAAGTTTCATTCCTGGGGCTCTGAGGAAGACGGAATGTGCAGAGACTCTGAAAGGGAAAATGGACTGCAAGCAAAGGAGAGCAAAAGAGAGTTTGCAGGGCCAGAGGTGTGAAATTGCTTTCATTGTCATGAGCAGCAGGAAGAAAGTATCTTCATGTCCGAGGGGGAGAAAGAGAAAGGCAAGGATTCACTGGCAGAAGGGGCTGAGGAGGAATGAGTGAAGCTTTCTTCCACGGGGGAAAATTCCCTGAAAAAAATGTATTTTGAGGGCATGGGCACTACACCTGATCTATGAGGAAAAAAAAAAATCTTTTAACGGATGTTTTATCTCAGTCTTTCTAAAGTTAAATATTTGCTCTTAATATTTCCAAATTACAGCTTTGTTTTGAAGTGGATGGCTTTGCTGATGATGGGGTTCATAAAAATGCACTGAGTGTGTTTTGGCTCTCCAAAATGATGTGTTACTTTCTCATTATGCTTAGTTTGGCCTCCAACCAAAAAGCCAATTATTTGATTGAATCTCGCGCTGAGCAGCGTGCCTGCGTCTGTCCCACCTGACAGCCCCGGTGCAGCACAGCCACCTCCCTCCGGCACTGCCAGGGCAGCTAGCTTTGCACTGCGGATGAATTTATCTCTTACCGTTGGCTGCAGAAGAGCCCAGAGCAACTGCAGTCCTAGTTCAGATATTTTGATGAGCTGTTGGAAATTAACTGGTGTGAGCTGTAGTCCCTGGCTCCCAGCTGTTGGGCAGACACTTGGTTTGGAGCCGTTGCTGCTCACGCGTCCCCGTGTTGCTGGACTGTGCCCAGTGGGTGCTGTGCCTTGCAGGGGTGGTCAGGCTCTGGAAGGGGGAGAAAATTATCTCAACCCTGCAGCTGAAGAAACCGAAACCTATAGCAAAGGGTCCTGGTGAGTCCATCAGTGCTGGAGGTGAAGGCCTGGGAGAGGATGCTGACCCGGGAGCCTTCTGCAGGTGGCTGCGCTTCAGAGCTGCCGAGGTGCAAGTAATGTGTCATCAGCCAGCCGTGCCGGCATCGGGCACAGAATCCATAACCCCACGCTGCTTATTTCCTCTGCACACAGCAGCCACCTCTGCTTGGCCAGGGTATGAACGTGTATCTCTGCAGCTGGGAAGCGGTTCTGCACAGCAGGCTGCAGAGCCTGGGCTGCTCCTCCCGCTGCACCGGCTGTGACCAGCTTCAGGAAAACTGGTATGGGGTTATCTTCCTTTTCTCACATCAGCCAGCGCACCAAAGAATACCTAAATGCCTTGCAGTGGGCACCTGCTGAATTTATACTGAGCTGGCCTACTACAGCTGCTGGTTTGTAGGGTGCAATTCCTTGTTGGAAGGTTGCATCGTTCAGCAGAGCTTGAAATGGTACCAGCAACAGCAGCTCCCAGCAGACATCTTACTTACAAGACATACCAGCACTTGGAGAAGAAATCTTCCTACAGCCATCCTCTAAGCAGTAACAAGACGAGATGGTGTCCAGTGCTGACATGCTGTGTGTCATGGCTGGGTTCCTGTTTTGGCGGGACAAAGGCTGGAAAGGCTGAGCCTGGGAGCGAGCTCTGTGGGGCTGAGGGGAGGGAAGCAGAAGTCAGCGAGCCTTGCTGTGCTGCTACTGACTGCTGTAATGCCATCTCCTGAAATCACCTTCAGTGTTATGAAATTTTCCCCTGCAGAATAATTCTGTAGATACACCTGTGCCGAACAGCAGCATTTTCAGCGGGCAGGTGAGCGGGACTGGGATGGCAATGGCAAGTGATCAGATGCCCCTTTGTTTCTTTGGTTAGTGACAGGCAGATCCTTTGGAAGCCTGTAAGGCCTTTCATTTCCCCTTCCTCAGCTTTTTAACGAGGCTTTTAATCTCATTTTTGCATGCAGCTCCACTCAGAAACTCAGAAGTGTCAGCAACAAGCCTTAGGTGGGATGGTTCCCCGGCCAGCACTGCAGCTTCCCTCCCACCCCTGCCCCGAAAGGTTAAAATCACCTGGTTACCTGTTCTGCCTCTTTGGTAAGGCCAAGGATCAGTCTCCAGGCCAGAGTGCTGGGGTTTTCCTTCAGTAATTAAAATTATTTAACATAATGTACCATTTGAATCTGTTCTATAGTGGAAAGTGATGAAAAGTCTGATTTTTTGGAAAAAAGTTAATGCTAAAACAACCTCAAATTTTGCCATGCATCAGAATGGAAGTTTCATTTGGGTTTTTTGAACCATATACTGCTTTGAGCAAAGTTTTTTATTAGAGCAGCAGGTTTGGACCCAACAGTATTTAGTTGTTAAAGTTTCTGGTTGTGAGTAGTCTGCTGGAGTAGACAGGGAAGCTTTTAGTCTGCATAAAAACAGGAGGAGGGCGTCTGTGAAAAGTATTAACACAGTATATACGGAGATGCTGAACACTCAGATAATTCATGTATTAAGCTGGTTGTATTTTTCCAAACTCCTGCGGTATATTGTGGTCCTTTGGAATCATTGTTTGTGAAATGCAAACACAGAATAGAAGGAACTCGTACAGTCCTTCACAGCCTCTATAACAGTTACAATTGCTGTCATACAGTCATGTCCAAAATTAAAACAGTTCAGCCGCCGGTGTCTTACTGAGTCCTAAAGCCCTGAGACACCAGCAGCAATGAACCCGCTTCCAGAGGAAAGCACGGCTGAAACAGACACCAGCGCTTCAGCTGGTTCCTATTTCCATACAAATGGCTAGCTGCATTTCAGTGCGAGAAATGGTACAAGCTTTCAAATTACCCACAATGCCAATTTAAACATTTTTAAATCACCTTGCCTTCTGCAAGGAGCCAGTCTCTGTTCCCATGGAAACAGGGCCGGCAGCCTCCGAGCATCCGCTGTGGTTCGAACAGCTCCCCAAACCCCTCCGAGCACCCGCTGTGGTCCGTACAGCTCCCCAAACCCCTCCGAGCACCCACCGTGGTCCGTACAGCTCCCCGAGCCCCTCCGAGCACCCGCCGTGGTTCGTACAGCTCCCCAAACCCATCTGAGCACCCGCCGTGGTCCATACAGCTCCCCGAGCCCCTCTGAGCACCTGCTGTGGTCCGTACAGCTCCCTGAGCCCCTCCGAGCACCCGCCGTGGTCCATACAGCTCCCCAAACCCCTCCAAACACCCGCCGTGGTCCATACAGCTCTCCACACCCCTCCC